TTAGACAGAGTCTTGCTCTGTTGCTAGGCGCCAGGCTGGAGTGCAGTGGTGCAAGCTTGGCTCACTGCAACCTCTGCCTCCCGGGTTCAAGCAATGCTCCTGCCTCAGCCTCCCAAGTAGCTGGGACTATAGGCACATGCCACCACACCCAGCTAATTTTTGTATTTTTTAGTAAAGACGGGGTTTCACCATGTTGGCCAGGATAGTCTCTGTCTCTTGACCTCGTGATCTGCTCTCCTCGGCCTCCCAAAGTGCTGGGATTACAGGCGTGAGCCACTGTGCCCGGCCTATACCCATATATTCTAAACTCCATAGTGTTGTCTTAATCTATCTTTCTAGCTTCATGCCTCCACATTGTTATTCTCCCTGCTGTGGTAACTACTCCCTACTGTAACTGTCAATATTCCATAGTCAGACGTTAAGCCTTTGACTATGTCCATATGTTGTTTCCATATCCTTGAATCCTCTCATTGGCATTATTGTCTTTCAAACTCGTAAGCATCTTTTAAGGCAGTTGTTGCAAACTCAGATGCCTACAGAGGTTAATCAGGTACCACAATTTGAGTGAAGTGGATTTGGGTGGGGATTGTAGAGAGCTGGAGAGCAACTACCCGGGCTAAAAGGGCCCAGCAGCTATTTGGCACAAGCATGATTACAAAGTTGAATATGGGCCCAGTGTTGCTAGATCTTTCAATTTTACAAGTGAGAAGTTGAAAACTTATATTTTTATATGAAGTATGATTTCTAAACGTTGGCAACTTATTTTCGCAAAGTTTACTGTGCAGGCCAAATAAAAACATCTGTAGGCAGGAAATGGCACTCATTCCCAGTTTATGACCACTGCTGTAGGCTTATTTCAGGTACTTTGTTCATGAATTACATTCTCTAAGTCTAATGGAGTTCTTTTTGTTTTTTTCAGCATGTTGTGTGTTGGATGGTCAGGCAGGGATGTTTCAGTGTTTCATGTGTTGTACTGAATGCAGCACCTCAAATACAGTGCTGCATCTAGCCTGCCTTAGTTTTAATATGCTTTTCTAATGCGTTAGAAATATTTTGATGGCATGGGTTGGGTCCAATTCTTCACTTAGTACATATCAGTACGTACCTGTGGCGTGTGTGTACATAAGTGTGAGATCTATTGATTTCTACCCTGATAATTCTTGATTATCCTGGAAACTAATGTCTGTTCTTTGTGGAAACACCAATAGTACCTTGGCTTTAATTGCCAAAGAGCTCTGCATCTGGAAGGAATTGAATTGAATAACATTGGTATGCAGAAGTTGACCTGACGTAAATCCTATCTGATGGCTTGAATTTCATAATGTCCTGGAAAAATTGAGGTAGGAATGATTAATAACTAATATGATTTTAAAGGACAATCAATAATAGGAAAAATTGATAAATTATATCTCATTAACATTAAAAACTTGCTCCATGAAAGGCCCTATGAAGACAATTAAAAGATTGCCTTTAAAAGCTGCAGACTGGAAAACAATTTGCAAATCACATACTATACAGAGGACTTGAATTTAGAATATAGGAAGAGTTCAAAATTCAACAGTTAAAAAGAAACCTCATTAGAAAATGGGCAAAAGATACAAAGATATTTCACTGATGAGGATATGCAGATGGCATATTCACCCATGAAAAGATGTTCAACCTCACTAGGTCTTAGAGAAATACAACTTAAATCCACAGTGAGATATCACCACACAAGTGTTAGAATGGCTCAAATAAAAAATAGTGACAGTGCCAAATGCTGGCAAGAATGCAGAGAAATTTGATCACTTATACATTGCTGGTGGAAATGTAAAATGGTATAGCTAGTTTGGAAAAGAGTATGGCAGTTTCTCAAAACTAAACATGAGCTTAACCATATGACCCAGCAGTTGCACTCTTGGTCATTTATCCAAGAGAAATGAAAGCTTATGTTCCCACTAAAACCTATACATGAACTTTTATTGCTGTTTTGTTTATAATAGCCCCAAACTGGAAACCAATACAGATATCCTTCAGTAATGGGTAAATTGTGATACATCTATACTATAGAATACTACTTGGAAATAAAAAGGAAGGAATATTGATACACACAACTTAAACGGATCTTGAGGGGCTTGTGCTGAATGAAAAAAGTCAGTCTCAATAGGTAATATGCTGTATGATTTCATTTATATAACATCTTGAAATGACAGAATTACAGAGAGGGAGAACACCTGTCCATCACAGAGATCAGTAGTTGCTTTGGGTTGGAAGTAGTGTGAGAAGTGGTTATGACTAAAAAAGGATAGCACATGGGATCCTTGCGATTGAACTATTCTATATTTAGATTGTGGTGGTAGTTGCACGAAGCTATACATGTGATAAAATTTTATAGAACTAAATAAAAATGAGTATGTGTAAAACTGGTGAAATCTGAATGAGATCAGTGGATTGCATCAGTATCAGTTTCCTGGTTGTGATATTTGTATCAGTTTTACCATTGAGAGAAACTGGATGAAGGTGTATAGTATCTCTGTATTATTCCTTATACTTGAATGTGAATCTATGATAATCTAAAACTAAAAAGTTTAAACAAATACTTTATACCAAAGAAGCCTATATAAATGTGTGTTTTTTGGGCGGCGGGCCTTTCATTTTACCAGGTGATGTTCTAATCATGTCAGATAAAGGTAGTATTGAGACTCCACTGCTAACTGAAGCAGCCCGCATCCTTAAAGATAGAAACTGTGAGCCAGCCAAGAATTCTGAGTCTGTTGACCAAGGTGCCAAGCCAGAGAGTAAATCAGAACCTGTGGTTTCTACTCGGAAAAGACCAGAGACCAAACCTTCCAGTGACCTTGAGACTTCCAAAGTTCTCCCTATTCAGGTATCACAGACTGCAGACTAAATAGAGTATCTATTAAAATATTAAGATTTAAAATGTTGGGGCTAAAAGAAATTTGTCATAAATACCAATTTAGGATTGCATTTATTTCTTTCTCTTTGCAAACCTCAAATATAGTCATTTCAGTTCTATAAATGCCTTTATGAGTAATTGTTTTTGCTATGTGGTACTGACTGTCTGCCAATCAAGCAATACATTTCTTTAGCTAAATAATATGTATTTGTTCACCATGCTTTTGGCTAGTAATTAGACACCTTGTCTGTACATGCTGATATTAATTTTTTCATTTTTCTTTCTACTGGGAAATTAGGATACTGTTTCCAAAGATGTACCCCAGACCAGATGGGGTTATTGGGGGAGCTGGGGCAAGTCCATACTCTCCTCAGCCTCAGCTACAGTGGCCACAGTAGGTAAGATCATCAGTCAGTTATTTTTTGTGTGTGTTTTATACAGATCTGTGTTGCAGATGACTTTATTAATAATTCTTCTTCCAGGCTTTGTAGTTTGAGGATGCATTAGTAATGATGGGCTGATTTATACTGCCACTAGAGTTTGTAGCATTTCCTCATTAGAATGTTAAGTCTAGGAATTATTACTGTAAACTTATTCTTTGTTGATGAATCAATTTTTTTTAAAGGAGGTAATGCCAAGATTAGTTATGTATTGTCAAAATAACATGCCTTCTAGTCATAAATGATTTAAAAAATCTTTAGGTTTGATTTTTGGTTTGTTTCTTCAGTTTTGGTGACTAATAGCAAAAAAACGTTATCATTTTTCTCATTAGGACAAGGTATTTCAAATGTCATCGAGAAGGCAGAGACTTCCCTTGGAATCCCTAGTCCCAGTGAGATTTCAACTGAAGTCAAGTATGTAGAAGGTCAGTATATAGAAACATAAAGACCTAGAATTATGAATTGAAATGGAACAGTTGAACTAATTTTTCAGTAGGTATTTATTGGACATCTGATACTCAAGGTGTTATGGGACTGTGGTGAGAAAGAGGATTTAGAGTCTTTAGATCCCTGTTAGACATCTATGTCCTTTAACTTCTGATGTCTCTTCACTGTACTTTCCACATCTGAAATAGGATGGTATTTTATATCTCAAGTGACTGTTATAAACATTTAACAAATAAGGCCATGAATATACAATGTAAAAGTTGCTTAGCATTTTGCTTTGCATAATTGAGTAAGAAACCAATAAGAGTTAGCCGAATCTGCACCCTAGATCAAATGGGGTTATTGGAGGAGCTGGGGCAAGTTCATTCTCTCTGAGTCTGTTGTGAAACAAGAAACATATTTTAATGTATTGCTTTGGGGGTGTATTCTTGTGTTTGGATTTTTATGAAGACTAAGTTTAATTCTAGAGGCTTGCCTTAATCAGACAGGAAACCTACTCTCAAACCATGAAAGCTAGAATTATAACCAGAAATCAAAAGGGCCTGGGACCAGAAAATAGGAATCTTTTTAAGGCCTGGTTTGCATTCTTCATCTCTCATGGGCTTTATTGTCTCTCACTCTTGTTTCTTTTTGCTGGCCTGTCTCAGTTTTTTTCTTGAAGCTGACTGACTTTTGCTGCTTATTTTCCTCAGCTCCAGCTTTATATTGAATCCTGGCCTCAGTTATTTCCACTTCTGAATTCCTAGGTGAAAGAATTAGATTGGTCTAAACTTGGGTCATATGTCCATGGATCAGTTATGGCCAGGAGACAAGGCACATTGTATAAACATGGCTGCAAAGGACTATGTATGTGAATTGGAGGCACCATTCTTAGTGATGCCTGCATCAGTTAAACTATTTTAGCTGCAAGTAACAGAATATGTAAATGAAAGAAAATGTATTTTTCTCAAGGACTCTAGAAGTAGGCTGTTCCAGAGTTAGTTTAGTGGCTCTATGATACCAATGTTCTGGGCTGGCTTCTCTACAGTATTCTTTGTTGATTTCTTTATACTTTCTTTATGGTTGTCCGGTAATAATACAACTCCAAGTATAGTGTTCTAAAACAACCATGCTCAAAGTCGGGAATGAAGTAGATGGGAAGTGTCATTTCCCCTCATGCATCCCTCCTTCTTTAAAGAGGGGAAATGTTTTCCAGAAGTCTCAAGCATGTTTCTTCTCGAATGCCATTGCCTAGAACAGGATCTCATGTTCTTGATGTAGCAGCAAGAGGTGCTGAGAGAGTGAATCTTGGGCGTTATGGGACACCTCAAGATCAGGATATGCATTTAGCAGGCAAGAAAAAAGGGGGTTAGAAGTGGCTTTGAATATCTAAACAGCAGCATCTTCATGGCATTGAAAGATGTCTACCATAGAGAGCCATGTTTTAAGAAGGGAGTTGAAAAACTGGGTGAATCCTAAAGTGGGCTAGATAATGTAAATCAAAAAGTATCCGAGACAGGTCTCAATCAAGTTAGGGGTTTATTTTGCTAAGGTTGAGGACGCACCTGGTAAAAAGGAACACAAACCACAGAAGCAATCTGCCTTTCATACTATTTTTAAAGAGGGTCTGAGGACTTCAATATTTAGGGGAAAGGAAGAAAAAAAAGGGAAGGGTAGATAAAAGGGGCAAGTGGTTGCCTTCTTTTGAATCTTTGATCAGTATTCACTGAATCCACATTTTACGGGTAAAAGGAAAGAGCAGAGGTAGAGTCAATTATGTATCTGTCTTATGCTCAGCAAATTGGCAGTTTACATAAGATAAAGTAAATGTAGAGTAGCTACCTGTGGAAGCATCTGGCCTTATGTGTGGCCTTTCTGCTTAGGAACAAAAGGAAAGGCAGTTTTTTGTGTAACTTAGCTTTCAGGTTAACTTTTCCCTTTGGCATAGAAAATTTGGGGTCCTGACATTTTATTTTCTTTCACAGTAGTGAAACGTCTAGAATTAAAGTCTTAGAAAGTTGAAGGAATTATAGATATTGAATCTGGTAATCTGGAGAAGGGAAATTAAGAGAATATACTGGTCCTTTTCATAACTCGGAAGACTTAGCATGGAGAAGGTGATTTAGGTTTATTATTTATGGTTTATGGGGAGAGAACTAATAACTAGTACCACTCAGTGCAAGTTATATGGAATTAAGTTTTAGTTTAATAAAAGAGTTTAACAGGGAGAACTTTCCAGAATTGCAATGGACTGCCTTTTGATACTAAGCCCCTGGTATCTACTAAAGTTCCTGAGGAAGGGGGTTGATTCCTCTGCCAAGGATGTATCTTGTAGTCAACATGTGTCTTTTGAGAACTTTTAGATAAGCATAGGCCACTGATGGAAATCATTGATCATCTGTTAGGGATTTTTTTGTCTTCCTTTAAATGGTGCTGTCTTCTAGTTTCCTTCTGTTGGCAGGCGGTTAAGGTATCTGCAACTTAAATTGATGCTTTTAAGTTTTTTTTTTTTTTTTTTTTTTTTTTTTTTTTTTTTTTTGAGATGGAGTCTCACTCTGTCACCCAGTCTGGAGTGCAGAGGTACAATCTCAGCTCACTGCAACCTCTGCCTCCTGGGTTCAAGCTGTTCTCCTTCCTCAGCCTCTCAAGTAGCTGGGATTACAAGCATGCATCACATCTGGCTAATTTTTGTATTTTTAGTAGAGGTAAGGTGTTGCCATGTTGGCCTAGTCGAGTCTCAAACTGCTGACCTCAGTGATCCTCCTGCCTTGGCTGGCTGGCTTCCTTCCTTCCTCCCTCCCTCCCTCCCTCCTTCCTTCCTTCCTTCCTTCCTTCCTTCCTTCCTTCCTTCCCTCCCTCCCTTCCTGTTTCTCTTTCTTTCTTTCTGATGGGGTTTCATCATGTTGGTAGTCTGGTCTTGAATTCCCGACCTCAGGTGATCTGCCCGCCTTGGCCTCCAACGTGCTTGGATTACAGGCGTGAGCCACCGTGCCCGGCCTTGGCTTCCTTTTAAAGTGCTGGGATTACAGGCATGAGCGAGCTGCCAAGCCTGGCCACGGCATTTTTTTAAAAGCTTGTTTAGGGTGAGTCTAGAGTAGCTTTTACTCTAAGTACTATTTATCTCTACTGCTAAGGCTTGACTCTTCTGAAGTCTCTACCTTAATTCCCAGGTGTTTAATAATGTCTCTGTTTTGGTGGGCTGGAAGTCAAATGTCTCTCAGCCTAGCATGAGCTCTGGGGATTGTTTAGCTTACAGCTCTGTGGTAGTTCTTTGTACAGATTTATGGAGTCTCCCAGTGCCAGAGCAGTGTAGTATTTAAGCAAAAATACCTAAACATGTCTTTGGGCATGCCTATGCAAATTCATATCTCTTTAGCCATGTGGCTTCCTTCTCTGTGGTTTTTGATCTGTAAATTCCAGTTGCTTTAGCATTCCCAGATTCCAGTCTCTATTTCTTCCACTCATACTGATTACCATGCCCCACTTGGGTTTCTCTTCCATCTGTCGTGGCCTGGAAAGCTCCTCTATATAGAAAGCCAAGCCAATTGTAAGATTTATTTATTTATTTTTTTCTTGTGTGAACCAAAGCCTTGTACTGCTTATTGTCCTATGTCTGAAGACAGTTGCTTCTTATATATTGTCCAGTTTTTCAGTTGTTGTAACAGAAGGGCTTATCTAATACCATGGCTGGAAGTGGAAGTCCTCTCTATAACAGAGTATTTGATAATACTTAAATTATTTGGTATAATGGTTCTTTTCTTGTGTGAGATTTTTAAAGTTAATAGATTATTTTTTTGAAACATACCCATTTTCATATGTCCATTTGATTTTTATAAAATAGACTGGATTTTTAAAAATCAGGTTTATTGAGTTATAATTTACAAACAGTAAAATTTATTCTTTTTAGGTGTACAGTTTTACATGTTTTGACCAATATATATATACTTCTGTTTATACTGTGTAATCATAGTACACTGTGATTATACAGATATAGAAAACATTCTATATAGAATTATCAGTACAGATATATAGAATGTTTTCTATATCTGTATTGATAATTGGGACATAGAATGTTTTTATTATCCCAAAAGAGTTCTCTCATTCCCGTTTGTAGTCACTCTGTTCCACTTACTCTCAGTTCTTAGCAATTACTGATCTGTTTTCTGACCTTATAGTTTGACTTTGTCCAGAAGAATATATAATTGGAATCATACAACATATAGTCTGTTGTATATATCAGCAGTTTGTTTACAAAACTGGATTTTATTTTTGAAATGAAATAAAAATGAAAACTGTCTATCAACTTTTATTTTAGAATAAGCAAATGGTTTAAAAAGATAAAAAGGGCTAAGAACTTGTGTGTAGGAAACAGGGTCTAGTTTTAAAAATCTCACATAGATGCTAATAAAGCAAAAGAGTTAAGGGACCTCTCCTTCATGTTTACACATCTCCTTCCTCTTGTAGGAGAGACAAATGCCAAAGAGAATGAAAACTCCTCCCCAGTGGCCGGGCCATTTGGTGTATTCTCGACCATCTCTACTGCTGTTCAGAGCACAGTAAGTAAGAAAGTGCAAGGTGGCCTGTTCCATTCCATTATAGTAAAGGGTTTGCATATCTTCCTGTCTCTCTTCTTTGCATGGTCATGTAGACTGATTACTTTTAAAGGGGTTCAAGCCACTGAAGATCAGTCACTTTGATCTTATGGGTGGAGTGAATGCTACTTGAAAACTTTCATGAAAACAATAAAGAAGAAAGTAAGAAATAAAGGAGTAGCAATAAATAAGGGAATAGGAGTTACAGAGAGCCAATAGACATTTTATGGATTAGGAATTCTTAATTTGGAGGCCCTAGAAAATGTCTGCTTTACAAAAATATTTTTCTCATAATTGCATTTTTTAGACAAAGCGGAAATGTGATCTTTATGACAGATATTTGCAAAACTGTGATTAAAAACATTCGTAAAGGATTATCTAGGAAGCTAAAAGTCTTTCCTACGTAAGGATAAATAGCTAGTTTTCATTTTAACTTTTTATTGAAATGTACGTGCAGAAGAATGAAATAATAAGTGTTGTTGGAATTTTCAGTGTGAAATACCCAGACTAAGAAACAGTGTTACCGTACGTCAGATCCCCCCACCATCTTGTGTCCTCTCCCCGTTTTCTGTGCCTTCCTCTCTTCCATTCTCCTGCACCATGAGAACCATAATCCTGACTTCTGCCATCATAGGTTAATTTTACCTGCATTTCAGCTTTATATAAGTGGAATTAGATATATAATAATCTAGCTTCCTTCAGACAACATTATGTTTATATAATTTATGGTGCAGTTTGTGTGGTAGATTCAATTTTCTTTGTTATATTTCATTGTGAAGCTTTGTCACATTTTATTTGTTCATTCCACAGTTGGTGAGCATTGGGGTAGTTTTCAGTTTGTAGCTATTACAGACAGAGCTGTTATGAACATTTTTGTACATGTCCTCTGATGAACCTCTGTACTTATTTCTGTTAGGATGTAACCATGAGTGGAATTGCTGGGCCATGCACCTGTAGTAGATATTGACAGACAGTTTTCCAATGTGGTTATACCTATTTACATTCCCACAAGCAGTGTATGATTGTTTTATTTGCCTTACATTCTTACCAATGCTTCATATTGTTAGCCACTATTTTTATATAATAAAAATATGCAGATTTGTGTTCTCAATATTGTTGTAATGAGGTTGCATGTGTTTTCTAGGGAAAGAGCGTTATCAGTGGGGGTTTGGATGCCTTAGAATTCATTGGAAAAAAGACAATGGATGTGATAGCAGAAGGAGATCCTGGATTTAAAAGAACCAAGGGTCTGATGACCCGAAATGCTACACTATCTCAGGTACTGATTATCTTTATCTGTTTACCTTCTGTTTCTGTTTTGTTCTGTATTTTTGCCTTTGTTTACTTGGGACCTTGTGTTGTCTTTGGAAGAATTTTCAATAATTTTTTTATTAAGGCATGTTTTTGGGGGTCAGGGAGGGATCATTGAGAGCTCTAATGCTTACAAAAATACCCAGCTATTTGTTCCTCCTCTTTCCTTTCTGCAGGAGCCTTTCATCAGTGCAGTGCAAAATGCTAAACCCTGTCAGGTTTTTTTTTTTTTTTTTTTTTTTAAAGTAGATTAATGTTTAAGTCATTTTCAGCAAAACACTTGGTTCCTTGGGTGTTATTTACACTGTCTAGGATCAAATTATGTGGTCGTCCGGTGGCTCATGTCTTTTATCCCAGCCCTTTGGGAGGCTGAGGCAGGCAGATCACTTGAGGTCAGGAGTTTGAGATCAACCTGACCAACACAACGAAACCCCATCTCTTCTGAAAATACAAAAATTAGCTGGGCATGGTGGCGTGGCGTATACCTATAATCCCAGCTATTCTGGAGGCTGAAACAGGAGAATAGCTTGAACCCGGGAGGCAGAGGCTGCAGTGAGCAGAGATCGTGCCACTGTACTCCAGCCTGGGTGACAGAGCGAAACTGTCTCAAATAATTTGTGATCTTTTTTCTTTCTGCAGCTCCTGAGCCTACCAGATTTGAATTGTAATGCCAAGAATGAAAGGGCAATCCTTTGTACTGTAACCTGTCTCAGTTTTGCCTCCTTCAATTCTCAAAACTGACCCTTGAGCTGTCATTATTTGCTACAGTGTAACGCCTCTATCTCTTTTTAGGTTTTACGAGAGGCGAAGGAGAAAGAAGAGATATGGACCGCCAATGAGGTTACCGTGGAAACAGACAAGAAAACTCATTATGGGCTACTCTTTGATGAATTTCAAGGCCTTTCACATCTGGAAGCTCTGGAGATGCTTTCCCGAGAAAGTGAAATAAAGGTAATTCCAAGCCAAAATCTCAACTGGAAAAAGCCTTCAAGTAAAAGAATGCTTCACAGTTTTTTTTCTCTTTGTACATTTGGAAGATGAAATGTATTTTTGATAGAAACTTGAGATGCCCTGGAAATACTACTACAAAATAAATTGAAAAACTAATGTTTGATTGAGCTAATTGCTAGAAATAGAATTAGTCAAGTATTAGTTCTGTAAATTTAAACAAAAAAGACAGATTAACAGGTCATAATAGGACATTTGTTATTTTTCCTTCTTTTTTTTTAAGCTGCTTTGGCTTAGGCTGGCAAGAAATCTGTTGACTTGAGCTGCCAATTTGTGTATGGTTACCTGTTAGCTTTTAATTGATTCAAGATTATCTCATTTTTCTGTGATTTCTAAGCTGTTGTTAAGCACTAATAATTTCCAGGCATTTCTGGCTGGTATTACTTTTAGAAGTACAGATTCTCCCTACCTGCATGTCATAACCAGCCTCTTGTGTTAAGGTTCTTATGGAATAACTTGTGCTGGCTGGTGAGCTCATAATTTTGACTTCAATTTGATCTCCGTCTAGTCTCTTCCCTATTTGTGAATGTTTTTCTTTTCTTTCATGCTCCTACAACATTTTATTCTTATGTCTATCCAGGTGAAATCTATCCTTAATTCTCTAAGTGGAGAAGAATTAGAGACTCTAAAACTTGAATTAGAGCAACTCAAAGAAGCATTTTCTCTAGCAGAATTTTGTGAAGAAGAGGAAGAAGAGATAAAAGGTAATATGAAAATTTAGTGTCTAAGTGGAGAGGATGCAGCGTGTTTGTATGCAGTGCATTGCTGTTGAAATAAATTATTTGCTGTCAGGTTACACTGGCTTGATTTTACTTTTTTAGTGAGGTGTTTTTTTTTTTTTTTTTTTGGAGACAGAGTCTTGCTCTGTCGCCCAGGCTCGGGTGCAGTGGTGTGATCTTGGCTCTTCAGTGAGATTTTTTTATGCAAATAATCTGTGTAAAATTCCTCTGCAGTCTTGCACCTGACCAGGCATTGATGGGGGCAGTTGGCCTTATGCCCATGTCTCCCTGCCTCCTTCCAACCAAACTCTTTGTGGCTTCTCAAAGTCTAATATTGCAACTCACTTCTTTGCCTGTTTTTCAGTTAGATAGCTGCTCTCGTGAGATTCTTGCCTCAGTTTGACTGATCATTCATATGAGCTTTTATATTCCTAGGTACTTTACCTCTGCCTCTTTGACTCTTGTAACTCCTGACTCTGTCTTGAATTGAGGCATGCAGGATGGCAATTATCTAAAATGTGGGTGTTAGTTTGTCTTTTTTTGTTTGGAAAACTCTTACACTATATTTTAATAGCTGCATTTCTCAGAAAAGTGCCACTTTTATTTAATCTTGTCCTTGATGAAGCAGTAAAAATTATTAATTTTATTAAATCTTGACCTTTAAGTACACATCTTTCAAATATTCTGTGTGATGCCTACTGAAGTATGATGGTTGTCTCAGGAAAAGCACTTATATTATTTGAGTTGTGAGCTGAACTACATGCCTTTTTCATGGAATACTATTTTTACTTGAAAGGATAACAGTCACGTAGACTATTCAGAATAGGATATTTGGTACACATTTTCCTGAAAATTAATGAAGAGAGCCTTTTCTTTAAGGAAAGTAACTAACTTATTTGTGACTCATGATAAAAATTTAAATGAAGGTTAAAACTTTATAAAATGCATTTGCTACTGTGGTGAGCTTGACAGCTTTCCCGTGCTTACAGACTCTGCTGATGAAGTTGGTGGTGATCATGTTTTAACAAATATGATCTGTGTTTTAACAAATATGTTTTGACAAACATGATCACTTTTTGATATTTTAGAGAGAACTGTGACGACATTTGGAAAATCTGCATAACTCAGAGAACTAATGTTTTCTAAGTGTCAGATCACCATGGGTAAAAGAACTAATAGATTTTAATTTAGAGTACAAAATTTTATGATATGGTTTCAGGTATATTGCAATATGGTTCATTACAACTAATTTTTAAGAAATGACCACTTGTTGAGTTTTGGCATGATATTAAAGTATATTAATAATTATCTGAAGAGGCTACTGAAATACTTCTTCCCTTTCCAACTATCTATCTTTGTAAAGTTGGATTTTTCTTCATATACTTAAACAAAGCAACATAACAGACTGAATATAAAAATAGCTAAGAGAATTTAGCTATCACCTGTTAAGCCAGACATTAAAGAGATTCAACCATAATGTTAAATGGTGGCACTATTCTCACTAAAATTTTTTGTTTTTGAAAAATATAGTTTTTAAAAATAAAAAGTATGTTATTTATGTTAATAAGTAGTGTCAGTTTACTATTTTTAATGAATTAATAAACACTTGGTTTTATATATAAATTTGTATATGTATATGTGTGTGTGTATATATATATGCATATGTGTGTGTATATACACACACATATACATACATATATATACACACACACATATACATATACAAATATGTGTATATACACACACATATACATACATATATATACACACACATATATGTGTATATATAGTGTACATATATACATATATGTGTATATATATATTTATGTGTATGTGTGTATATATATATTTATATATATGTGTGTGTATATATATATAACTTACACTAAAAAAGCTATTTGATGTTCTCAAAAAGTTTTAAGAGTACAATGAGGTCCTGAGACCAACATGTTTGAGAATTACTAGATTAAATTACCTAAACTGCAATGCTTTTAAAAATGTCTCTGATTGCTTTTTAGAATTGTACATCTTTATTTCTTTCTGTTTATTTATCTGTTCATCTTTTACTTCACTGTTAGTGAGCTGGCTTCTGATATCCTCTGAATCTCATTTGTTTTTCTATTTCTAATCTGTGGGTGAGAAACCAGATAACTAATTTTATTCAAATTGTCCATTAAGAGCCAAGAGCTCTGAGTGAGGGTCTTAAGAGTCTTTCTTGTGACAGAAAACATAAAGTGAAGTATGTGGATTCTCTACAAACAGGGACAGTTTTTTTTCTTTTTCTTTTAAAATCAGTTAAGGAGAGGAAATATACATTTGTATCATTTATAATTACATAGTTATCTTTACTAGTGCTCTTTGTCTTTTTTTGTTTTTTTTTTCCAAAGTTTTTTTACTTTCATAGGTTATCGGGGAACAGGTGGTGTTTGGTTACATGAGTAAGTTCTTTAGTGGTGATTTGTTAGAATTTGGTGCACCTATCACCCGAGCAGTATACACTGCACCCAATTTGTGGTCTTCTATCCTGCACCCCCTTCCCATCTTTTCCCCCTGAGCCACCAAAGCCCATTGTGTAATTCTTATGCCTTTGCATCCTCATAGCTTAACTCCTACTTATGAATGAGAACAGATGATGTTTGGTTATCCATTCCTGAGTTACTTCGTGTAATAGTCTCCAGTCTCATCCAGGTCACTGCAAATGCTGTTATTCCTTTTTATGGCTGATTAGTATTCCATCGTGTGTGTGTGTGTGTGTGTGTGTGTGTGTGTGTGTGTGTATCTGTATCACAGTTTCTATCCACTTGTTGATTGATGGGCATTTGAGTTGGTTTCACATTTTTGTAATTGTGAATTGTGCTGCTATAAACATGCATGTGCAAGTATCTTTTTCATACCATGACTTCTTTTCCTCTGGGTAGATACCCATTAGTGGGATTGCTGGATCACATGGTATTTCTACTTTTAGTTTTTTTAAGGAATCTCCACACTGTTTTCCATAGTGGTTGTTTACATTCCCGCCAGCAGTGTAGAAGTGTTTCTTGTGCACTGCATCCACACCAACATCTATTATTTTTTTATTATGGCCATTCTTGTGGGAGTCAGGTAGTATCACATTGTGGTTTTTATTTGGATTTCCCTGATTATTAGTGATGCTGAGCAATTTTTCATATGTTTATTGGCCATTTGTGTATCTTATTTTGATAATTGTCTATTCATGTCCTTAGCTTACTTTTGATTCGTTTATTTTTTTCTTACTGATTTGAGTTCATTGTATATTCTGGATATTAGTCGTTTGTCAGATGTATAGATTGTGAAGATTTTCTCCCACCTGTGGGTTGTCTATTTACTCTGTTGACCCTTTGGCCATGTAAAAGCTTTTTAGTTTAATTAAGTCACTGCTATTTATCTTTGTTTTTATTGCATTTGCTTTTGGGTGCTTGGTCAGGAAATCCTTGCCTAAGCCAACGTCTAGAAGGGTTTTTCCAATGTTGTTGTCTAGAATTTTTATAGTTTCAGGTCTTAGATTTAAGTCCTTCGTCCATCTTGAGTTGATTTTTGTATTAAGGCGAGAGATGAGGTTCTAGTTTCATTCTCCTACACATGACTAGCCAATTATCTTAGCACCATTTGTTTAACGTTTTTGTTTGCTTTGTCGAAAATCAGTTGGCTTTAAGTATTTGGGTTTATTTCTGGGTTTTCTATTATGTTCTGTTGGTCTATGTGCCTATTTTTATACCAGTACCATGTTGTTTTGGTGACTATGGCCTTATAGTAGAGTTCGCAATCAGGTAATGTGATGCCTCCAGATTTGTTCTTTTTGCTTAGTCTTTCTTTGGCTGTGTGGGCTTTTTTTTTGGTTCCATATGAGTTTTAGGATTTTTTTTTTCTAGTTCTATGAAGAATGATGGTGGTATTTGATAGGAATAATGTTGAATTTGTAGACTGTTTTGGGCAGTATGATAATTTTCACAATGTTGATTATACCATCGATGAGCATGGGATGTGTTTTCATTTATTTGTATCATCTATGATTTCTTTCAGCAGTGTTTTGTAGTTTTCCTTGCAGAGGTGTTTCACGTTCTTGGTTGGGTATATTGCTAAGTATTTTATTTTTATTTTTGCAGGTATTGTAAATGGAGTTGAGTTCTTGATTTGATTCTCTGCTTATTCACTGTTGGTGTATAGAAGAGCTGCTGATTTGTGTACATTAATTTTGTATGTGGAAACATTGCTGAATTCTTTTATCAGTTCTAGGAGCTTTCTGGAGGAGACTTTAGGATTTTCTAGGAAAGCAGTCATATTACCAGCAAACAGCAACATTTTGACTTCCTGTTTACTCATTTGGATGCCCTTTACTACTTACTCTTGTCTGATTGCTCTAGCTAGGACTTTCAGCACTGAGTTGAAGAGGAGTGGTGAAGTGGGCATCCTTGTCTTCCATTTCTCAGAGGGAATGCTTTCAACTTCTCCCCATTCAGTATTATGTTGCCTGTGGGTTTGTCATAGATGGCTTTTATTACATTAAGGTATATGTCCCCCTTGTACGCTGATTTTTTTGAGAGTTTTAATCATGAAGGGATGTTGCATTTTCTTGAATGCTTTTTCTGCATCTATTGAGATGATCATATGATTTTTGTTTTTAATTCTACTTATGTGGTGTATCACATTTATTGACTTGCGTTTTTTTTTTTTGAGACAGAGATCTGGCTGTATTAACGAAGCTGGAGTGCAGTGGTGCGATCTCAGCTCACTGCAACCTCCACCTCCTGGGTTCAAGCGATTCTTCTGCTTCAGCCTCCTGAGTAGCTGGCACTACTGGCATTCACCACCATGCCCAGCTAATTTTTGTATTTTTACTAGAGTTGAGGTTTCATTATGTTGGCCAGGATGGCCTCAATATCTTGACCTCATGGTCCATCTGCCTTGGCCTCCCAAAGTGCTGGGATTATAGGTGTGAGCCACCACGCCCGGCCCTGACTTGCATA